TACAAAACTATTTAAATAAAAAACAATGAATTTCGAAAACAAAAAAAATTTTTAGAATGCAGCAGCTAGTTATGATTTCAGTAGTAATGATCGATATCCATATCCACGTTATACAGATGATTGGTTTAATAGGTAGAAATTTTACTATTAGAAGTCGTTTATTTACATGAATATCAATCTAATCTATATATAGCCATGGAACACGTTGTGCTGGTGAAATTGCTGCTGCTCGAGATAATAACATTTGTGGTGTAGGTGTTGCTTATGATTCAATGGTAGCTGGTAAGAACTTTCTAAAAAAAAAAATATATATATATAATTTTTTCATTTTTGTTCTTTAGGTATTCGAATGTTAGATCAACCTTATATGACCGGTAATCATAAACTATCAATAAACAAACAAAAAAAGACAATTTACATTTTTGTATAGATCTAATCGAAGCTAATTCAATGTCACATGAACCAGATATGATCGATATCTATTCAGCATCATGGGGTTTTTATTAATAGTCTTTTTGTTTGTTTCGTGAATTATTTATTTTTATATCATTTTTTAAGGGCCAGTTGATGATGGCAAAACAATCGATGGACCACGACATGCAACTATGAAAGCTATTGTCAAAGGCATTAATGAAGTAAATAATATTTTAATATACAAAACATAATTATAAATATATGAATTTAATTTGTTTCTAGGGTCGTCGTGGCCTTGGTAGGAAGTTGATTATTTTCTGTTTCAATAAATTCTATAATTAACTTTTTTTTTTACTAGGTTCGTTGTATGTATGGGCTAGTGGTGATGGTGGAGCTAATGATGATTGTAATTGTGATGGATATGCTGCATCTATGTGGACAATATCAATAAATTCAGCAATAAATGATGGTCGAACAGCACTTTATGATGAATCATGTTCATCAACACTTGCTTCAACATTTAGTAATGGTCGAAGTGATGATCCACAAGCAGGTTAGTTTACGAATAATAAAAAAAAAAGAAATATATTACTTTTCTTTTTTTTTTTTTTTAATTAATTAGGAGTTGCAACAACTGATTTATATGGTCAATGTACTCTAAAACATTCGGGCACATCGGCAGCAGCACCAGAAGCAGCAGGCGTATTTGCGCTTGCACTTGAAGCAAAGTATAAAAAAAGAAAAAGAAAGAATTATTTTATTTGTCGAAACATTTTTTTTTTGTTATTGATTTAGTCGTCAATTAACATGGAGAGATATTCAACATTTAACTGTCTTAACAGCAAAACGTAATCAACTTTTTGATCCATCACAACAACATTTATGGCATATTAATGGAGCTGGATTAGAATTTAATCATTTATTTGGTTTTGGTGTACTTGATGGTTCGTTTGTTTTCTTTTTTCATTGAGTATAAAAAAAAAAAATTAAATATCTTTTGAAATTATCTAGCTGGCGATATGGTCCGACATGCTAAAGAATGGAAACCATTACCAACTCGATATCATTGTACTGCTGGTAATATAACAGGAAAACAGTAAATATTTATAGAAGAAAAATAACATATGATTTTATTAATTTCTTTTTTTCTTCTTTTATAACTAATAGACCAATACCTGAAAAAGGTTCATTAAAATTAACAATAAATACAGATGCATGTAAGAATACAAAAAATGAAGTAAATTATCTCGAACATGTACAAGCGTTTATAACATTAAAAAGTAGTCGACGTGGTAATACAGTTATTTTTATTACATCACCACTTGGTACAAGGTAAAATAAACAAAGAAATTTTTTCTAAATAATTTCTTAAAAATATTTTTTTTTTTCTAAACTAGATCATTAATTTTAAGTCGTCGTCCATTAGATGATGATTCAACAAAAGGTTTTTATAAATGGCCATTTATGACAACACATGCATGGGCTGAACAAGCTCAAGGTATATGGACACTTGAAATACGTTTTGATAATGAAGATAATGCAAATGCACCATTAACAAATCAACAAAATCAAACAATATCAGATAAAGAACAAAGTCAAAAATTAACTACCGGTAATTTTTTTGAATGGTCATTAATATTACATGGAACAAAAACAGCACCATATGTTAATCAAACTCCATTATCAATATACGGTGATAAAAGTAAATTATCTATTGCTAAACAAATACATGAAAATAATTTTCACGATAAAGCAAAATATGTTCAATTACTTAAACAAGATAATCAAAAACGTTTAGGAAGTGATGATGAAACAATTATGTAAACAAAATAAATGAATTTACATATATCCTTATCTAATAGACATAGTCTAGAAGAGAGAATACCAAAATGAAAAAAAAAACAAAAATCGATTTTATTACCGTGTACAGCCTTCCTTCTATTTTTTCTTTTCTTTTCTTTTCCTTTTTCATCATGTGAAATAACGCTTATCATCGTTCGGGAAAAAAACTAATATATATATTTATATATTTATTTTATTATCGTTTCTTGTTCCGAAAAAAAAAAAACAAATGAAATGTGTTCAATGACGATCAATAAAAATAGAGTTATATGATGATGCTGAATTAAATAAAAATGAATGAATTATTTGTCGAATGTATTTTTATATATCAATTCAAAAGTATTACCTTAATTATTTATATATAAAAAAATATAAAATTGTTTATCTTATTCTCTCGAGAATTTTTCTGTTGGTTTATTTTCACGAATGACTAATCATGCAAGATTTTTATGCTGGATTTATCTGATAGAAAAAAAAAAAGAAGATATATTTGAAGAACAATACAAGAGTATTTCCGAAGTCGTCAGACTTGCGAGAAAGTTGATTAGAAAATTTTCGTTAAATTTGATTGAATTTGGAATTGAAGATTGTTTAGGGAATCGACGAGCAAACAAAAGAATAAAACATTGGAGCTCCGTTGAAGAAAAAAATGAAAAGTTTTTAACATTGATAGATTACCCATATGATAAACTTCTGGAATAATGTATGGTTACTTATATTTGTATATTTATTACTTTTTAAAGATTCAATTTGTCAAAATCAAAAAAGGCATCAGTGTATGCACAAGTTAAACTCAATTGAATAATATAGTATAATCATGCAAGTGAGAGAAATTAGATTAGCGTATTGATCATCACTTTTTTTTCTAACATCTTTTAAAACAAATTAAACTTTTGACAAAAATTATTCGTAATATTGATTATTCAAAAAGATACACAGTAAACGTATAGCTAAAAAAACTTAACTCAACAACACGTCAATCACGAACATAAGATAAATTTCATATAGTAATTTCATTCAAAAGAAAAATCAAAATATCTATCGAAATGATAATGGAAAAAAAGATATTAGTTCGTGCTTATAAAATGAATATATTAATAGAACAATCTCTTTGTTTATTTCGAAGGATTTACAGCGCATCTAACTGCCTTGGAGACTAGACGTCGAGAATTAATTATGGTTTCTATCATACACTTCATTGATCTTATGTTGCAAGCCTTGATAATACGTTTCTTTGACATAAACTCTAGAATATTTTCTTAATAGTACCATACACATCTGTTTTTTTTCAACTCGCTCTTGTGAAAATTTCTAATGAAAGTTACCATGTGAGCTGGATTTTTTTTGTCTTTTTAAAAAAAACTGTAACTTAACAATTAGTCTATTGATGAAATTTCATTTCTGAATATAGTCGATCCAAAATATCGAACTCTCGAAACTACCGATGATATATTAATTATAATTACTAGTATATATTCTTTGTATTTTTACAAGTAAGAAATATACAACAAAAGAGAATATGAAACAAACACATACGACCACAACAAAAAAAGAAAAGGATATTTATGCATGTAATTGAAAGAATTCCTTCGTTGATTCAAACAATTATTATAATTTGTTTTTCAGTTTTTTTTCTTATTTAATAAACGATATGGTGATGATGATTGATGATGTTTTTCCAATTCTTTTGTTCGTCCTTTCCATCGTCGTATTGAACTATTTTGTAAACGTTTTACTGATCGAGCTACATGACCAGTAGTACGAGTTCCTGATAAAATTATTTTATTACCATGTATTAAAGCTTCTTCAATAATACGTTGTTCAGGTGTATTCATTAATGTAACAGTAAATCTATTTTTATTATTATCATTTTTTTCTTTTAATAATGATTTAGAGGTTACTGATGATGTAATTGATTGATTATGTAGTTTTTCTGATGATGAATGGTGTTCAAATGCACATACTTGTTTGTGTACACGACCAGCTAATTTATCTTTAAGTATAAGAACACTTTCTCGACCACTATTGTGTAGACTAACATTCTAAATAAGGTACACACAAGAATAAATCAAAAAAACATGTTTTCTTTTATTGCCTAGGAAAAAACGAGATTGGATATATTTTATTAAATATAGATTAAACAAAAAAAGAAAAGAAATGAATTATTGTTGAAAAAAAAGAGAAGGAAAAAAAGCTTCGAAGTTCACAAAAAAAAAAAATGTAAATTAGATATATTTGTTTACCTCATCATTCTCTCCAAGATTTAATGATATCGATTTAGTATTTAATGTATGAAATAAATCATTTGATGATTGAGTAGTTATTGAACATGAAAGTGAACGTTCTTTAGATATTGATGATGGAAGAATATTATTCGAAGATGAAGTTAAATTTGATATTGACGAAGAAAGACGAACTGGTATTTTCGGTGTTGTTAATTTAATATCATCTTTAATACACAAGAACAAAAAAAAACAAAGAATATTAACATACAGAATGAACTATAAATAACTAGACGATACAAAACATTCTATATCTTCAGTCTACTTTAATCGATCGGACTGGTTTTTTTTTCGGTGATAGAGAGCTCTTCAAAGTTTTTATTGACAAATGAACAATCAACTAATATTGTTTTCAAGTAGCACTACGGGCTAAAAGTATCTTCCGCTTTGATCTCAGCCGATTTTTTTAAAAGTCTACATCTGAAATTTTTAGTATAGGTGCTACGTAAGGAATTTAGGACAATGAAACCAATCCGGTTTTGTTCGCTGAAATTGATGAGGAGAAGCCTACGGCATGATCAACCTATTATTATATAAATTATTCAAATTAAAGGACTCGATAATGATAGGTTAGCTGCCATATCATTAGCTTCTTCCTTTCTTGAGTTCAAAATAAGAAGGATTGCTATAGATTATAATTTCTCTTCAACTAAAGCGAATGAAATTCATGCTAGCCTCATTAACCTACATTTCTAGGCTAGTGTATACAGTAAAAATTTCACCTGGTTAACCCTAAGAGTGATTGACGAGAGAAGCTCTCCAGGTGTATCAACTTTCAAGTTTCGACTTTGAACTTCACCATACAAAGTTAGAAGTCAAAACTCGATTTTTCATGTGATCACAGATTTTTTGTTGAAAAATTCAAGCATTCTAGAATTTTCTATTATTCATCAAATAGACATTGTCTTGACTGAAAAGCGATTGGACATCTGGAGAGATTCTCTTGCGAAATACTTTTTGACCAAATAGTGCTACTTTCATGGAATATCTATTTAATAGTTTTCTTATGAATACAATCTTTGATAAGTCGTCTATCATTGAGAAATAAATTAGCTCAATGTATTAAAGTAGACTAGAGAAATTTCGTTTAGTTATTCATAACCCATATTGCATATATATTCTTACTAGTAGTATTTGTAACTGGTGTTTTTTTAATATGAAAATTTTCATGATCTTCATCCTAAGAGAAATATAAATTGAAAATATCTTATTATTATTATTAGTTTTAATGAAAATTCTTTAAACATACATCTGAATCTGTTAATCGAATACAACGATTTTCATTTCGTCGTAAAATTTCTTCAAGATTATTATCATTATTTAATATTTTATCAATTAAAATTGGTCTATTTAAATTTTGATTATTAATTTTAATTTCATTTTCATTATTTTTTATATTTAATATATCAATATTTATATTATTAGATTGTATTAAAATTTGATCATTATCATAGATTTGTTTATTATGACTTATATTTCGTTCTAAATCTGTTTCATCAATAAATGCAACATCAAGTGAACCATGTTCATTATTTATTTGTTCATTTGGATATTCTTTTAATGATTGAATATCTTCATTACCAACAACAACAGCTAAATTAAGTTCATTAGAAATATCATCATCATCATCATTAAATGAATCATCTTCATGTTCTTGTGTTAAATTATGTTTTATTTGTTGATGATCATCAATTGTTATTTGTTGTTGACTTGTTAATGAATGTGAATGATTATTAAGCATACAAATAACATGACGTGTTTGTTGTTGACCAGCACTAGATGATATTGAACGACGTGGACGAAATGTTGTTGTTGTAAATGATGTACTTGTAACATCATCCGAATGACGACGATGAATACCAAAACTAGAATGCATAAGTAATGATGTTCCAGCTATTTGTTGTGTTGATATTTGCATTGAATTATCTGTTGGTTTAATTGGTGATGGTGATGATTCAGTAAATGATGAAGAATTAATTATTGATGTTGTTAACATAGGTGCATGAATAGCTATAAGAGGTTTTCGTTCGACTTTCTAAAAAAGAAAACAAAGCAAGTATTCTATGCATTTTATTTGTTGATTAATGTACTTACACGAGTCGATTTTGGCCATTTCCATGAATCTAATAGATTAAGTCTAAAATAGAAATTAATTGAAAAATTTTTCTTTTTTTTTTTTTCTATTTATTTATATACTTTTTTGTATCAAGTGATTTATTATTACAAGATATTGATGCTAGATTTGGAAGTAATGTAGGTTGTGTTTCAGGTGGTATTATTGATAATGGTTGAAGAATAGTAGTACCATGTACAAGTGAAACATTACTCATCATTGATGTTGTTAATGTTGTCATTGAACCACTTGGTGTTGTTGTTGATAATGATGATGATGATGTTGTTGATGATGGAATTGATATTGTTGGATTAACAATTGTATTCATAAAACGTACAGGAACTTCATCAGTAAAATGAAGTAATTGTGGTAAATGTGAATGTTCTATTTTGAAAGGAAAACCTTAACATTGATTTATAAAAAATAAATAATAAAAATGTAGAATATATTTACGACAAAAAAATTTACCAGGATCATTATTATGATTTGATGTTTTCTTTTTTCGTCGAAATGCTGTTATTGGACTTGTAAAACGATTTGTATTAGGTAATGAAATTTTTTCTTGTGATGATGTTTTTGTTTTACTT